TGATCGCCCCAAATTTAGACGCAGCCGTCTCTTATCAACCTGCTCGATAATGCACATCCAAACGCTCGTTTCATCAGTGAACTGGCGGCCAACAATTGGCTACCTTTTCTGTTGAGCAGAAGAGAGAACTGCCGTGTGAAACGTTCTGTTGAAAAGAAAGCTACATGGAGAGAACTGTTGGAAAACTTAACAGCTTCACCCCTATCCATTAGAAGCGTCGCTTAATCAATACGCTGTTTAATAGAGTCGATAGAACATGCAGTGGCGACTGTTTGTAGTCCGAACTAATGTTCATCACACAGACATTACGAGTCAATAGATATCCGGAGATATTTAGCCGGTTTCACACTTCCGAAGTAACTGATAAGACTTCCGAAGTAACTGATAAGACTACTCGCCCATCCTCATCACATGCACCTCCCCAACCTTCGGAATCTGCTGTCGTAGGACTCCCTGTTTTGAAGATCAAGATTAACCGGCCATCTCAGCTCACCTCAGGCGTTAACTCCTTCACGCAATACGAGGTAGTCGAGCTACCGATGCCAAATGGGTCGGAAGTACACAGAAGTCAGGCAGTCTTGAACGTCGCAGATACCTCCAAAAGTGGTTCGGCATCCGTTTCCTCTGTGAATGAAGTTACAGAGTCCAAAGGTGACACTAGCTCTAATGGTCTGAGTTCATCTCCGTCATCTCGCAAGGGGCCATGTTCCGCTAATTCGCCCAGCTTGGGTCGTCCTGTAAAACGATGTCGCCTGTCTGACGGAGTAACCATCCGGGTCGGCGACCTTGTTTGGAGCAAGCTTTCAGGTTGGCCTTATTGGCCTGCCCAAATCACTAGTATCCATCGGGTGTCATCCGACGATTCCGAGTCTGTCGCGCCTTCCACGGAGTACGATTTCACAGACGGCCAACCATCAAAGACCGACTCGTCGACATCATCCAAACGATTTTCATACCCCGCATGCTTACACTGGTTTGCATGGCACCAAGTATCCTATATGCCATGTGATAAGGTGTTCCATTTCCTGCAACATTACAAGCGCTTCGACAACAAAAAGAAGCGAGGTGTTTTTAGACACGCTGTCAATGAGGCAAAACAAAAGTCAGAGGAGAAACAGTTACTTTCCTCCATTTCTAGCGATTCAGATTCGGCGGATGAAGCTCCAATTGAACTTTCATCACAAAGCGTGTGCGCTCCACCTACTTCGAATGTGGGATCTGGACAAGCTTCACTATTCCCAGAGACTGCACTCTCCCTACCCACCGGGTCGTCTACCATCGAATTGTCCTCTTCGATTGCACCCTCAGATTTGCCAGAAGAACCTACTAGTATCTTACCATCCCCTGTCAAGTTTAATTCACGCTCAATCACGACTACGATTGCGCCGCGTGCCAGATCATCGAACCGCGGTCGCCCATGCAGGTTGCGGGGTAGACTGGGCGGATCAGCTAACTCTGCCGATCGAACCCGCAGCAGTCCTCGCAATTTACCGACTTTTCTTCCTAGTGGTCCGAGGGCCTTTGGAAATCCCTCACATCCGGCTAACCTTCCACCTCTATGATTGACCATTCCTTCCAACGGTAGAAAACAGACCAATGGTACTTATTGTGCTCAAACTCTGTCCACCTTCAAGTAATTTTTAAATGTGATGAGGTAACTGCATAACTTGAACCTTGTTTGCACTCACGATTCGCCGGACATTCACTGCCGCCAAACTCTGCCCCTTTTGAGCGACCGGAAACTTGCCACTGTCTCCAATGAAACCTACTCAACCAATCTCCGCCACAATCCAATATGCTTACCAATTCGTTTGTAGCCGCGAAAGTAGTTGCATAGGCAGTACAAGTCGACCTTCGGGTAAGTGAATTGGAGAGCTATCCCAAAGCGGATTGCTAAGCTATTGACACAGCAAACTGAAGAACAAGAAAGGGCATCTAGGCTGTAGATATCGTCCGTTGCCAGATATCTAATGCAAACAGACCCTCAGGTTAACCCTGAGTCAACGGTTATAGTTCTCTGTCCAGACGAAAATTCCAGAGTATTTTGGTTTGTCGAAGCTGTGACGCTTGACAAGCGTCGTCTGATTCCTTGTGTACGGAAACGCTAAGCAGTCCCTCTAAACCTTCCTCTGGTTCAAGACATTAGAGAGAAGCTCGCTGATCTGTTATTCCCTCATCTAACTACTTCCTATTTGTGGTCAACTCCAAAGGTTCGATTTTTCTGTCACGTGAGTTATATTTATGTTATTGGTTTGCAAGTGATCAGACAACACGAAATGGTTCTATCTCTCGATACCAGTCTTCATATTATCTTATTAAGACTGATACAGAACACTCGGCGCTTTAAAGTAAAACGAAAAATCGCAACTTACTAATCACATTCAGGTATATACGGTTGACTAGTAATTTTGCTTTCCCACATTGCAACAATTTTATCATTCTTTCCGTATTATTAAAGTGCAGGGAATGCAGAGTCTATGTACAATCGCTTGAATTCCACTACAAGTCTTACGCTATTGTGTAAGTTTATTCCAATCAGCGGCATAGTGTTATGCACATTAGTAAGCCCAAAGTCAGCAACTAAAAAGGCATGTATATTATACGCCTTTTCCATTTTGACATTTCCACTATTTTGACAAGTTCCGGACCATAACATATAATGGCAAGTTTACCGATATTTCAACTTCTGTTCACTATGGTGCTTCTCTGGCAAACCCAAACAGCCAAAGCATTGGTCGTTCTGATCAGCAAGAATGCGATATTTCTACGAGACATAACTGATGGTAGCATAACGAAATGAATGCAATTTGCTTTACTTAGAATTTGTTTGCACTGTCTTTGTCAACGTTTCTGTGAATTAATAACAAACTAGAACACAGATTAGAATGATTGTCCCTGTATCACATATTCCGCTTATCGAAATTGATGCATCGTGAACAATTCAAATAAAGCGAGAGATTTCGACCCCCTAATAAGTATAGTTTGAATCTGAGTCCTGGATTCTCTGATGACCAAACAGGGGAAGTGGCTTGTTCAGTCTTATAGTTAACTTCAGTGCGTCCCATGAGGATCCATAAGTGAAGCGCAGTTTGTTCACGCAAGTGCACCTGGTTGAACGATTTTTCATGCTTGCAAGGATAGAGTGGCATCTTCGAGAGATCAAAACTGTCTTGGAACTGAAGAGCCTAAGACCTGTTCAGTCGCTTTAATAATTTAACTGTCAGCATTAAACCTATTCTCATACCGGCTTTTGGATTAAGCGTTCTACTGACCGACCGTTTAATGCCTAGAATACACGGACGACAAAGCTATCCTTGTGTGTTTGACCTACATCTTGGCGGGACAATTACCTATCATTGCAAATATTCATGGTCCAAGTGGTTATTGTAGGTCCAAACCGACGCAACATTGGTTCAAATACTCATCGAGTGGACACCAGATGTCCTGCTCGGTTCAGTTACACTTGTAGATGTGTCATTTATTTTGGTCATAAAACTATGCTTAGCTGAAGTATCAGAGAATCACGTTCCTTTTCTGCAGCTTCCAAGTTACAAACTGAGTATTTGGGATTTCAGCTAGGTTTCAAAGGTCTAGTAGACAACACTGTGGACAGGTTTGGGATAGCTTATAGATTATATATATGGTCACCGCCTGCTTAAGACACTGGGATTTTGGCTGTTATCGGTCATATGAACAATGCCAAAGCTGGTCATTTGCGGTCTGGTAGAAAACCCGAAATCCACAGTTGTGGCTCTTAAATAGTAAGAGCCAGCTGTGACTAGACTATGTCCTATGTGTGACTGCAGAATGACCTCATGGCCGCTTGCCATATCCCGTCACCGATGCTATTTAGATGAAACCACGAAATGGCCAAATGACCACTTTATGTTTACAGGCGTCCAGAATCTAGGTAGATACGTACCGCTCCTTAGGCAAAACCTTTCGATTGTCGTCAGTTCAAAAGTTAAGTTGATATACAGTTTACTGTTGTTCGATTCACAGAAAGACTGCACACTGACAATGGAATCTCCCAATTGCGCGCCCAGTGAAATATTTAGTCTGACATTTTGGGATGCTACAAAAGAACTTAGAGAAAGAACAGGATATCACGGGCAGCACATACATATTACAAGCTTTTTACTATATTGCAAAAAAGTTGTACATATTTCAATATATACCTGTTCGCAAATTACGATATTAAGTATTCAGTATGCAGTTGCTAACCACTTATTCACCAGAATCGTTTGATTTAACCAATATCTTTTATTAGAACAGAGCAATGGTTTGCTTTAGCACAAACGTGTGTACTCCTAGTTGTACGCATACTTGATTATTGAACCATAGAATAATATGCAAGTAATGGTTACTGCATGAGAGTAAACGCTTCTGAAAGCTTCAAATTATTTTACATGCATTTTTGCGCAACTGATTGGTAAAATGCTAACAAAATTTGGCTACACTCTTCCAATACGCTTACCGTAGTATAATAACGCAGTTCACAAGTTCCCACAATATACTACCGTCGTCATTGGAAGTGTCACCTAACGTCATCAACTCATTGGCAGACCGATGGGCAACGAACCTCTAATACGTGTGGGAAACTTCTTGTTTATTCGGATAATCGTATCAAATCCGCAGAATCCAAAACCCTGTTGACACTGATGACGCGATCAGACATAGTCAAAAATGCAGAAACACATTTATAAACCCAAGCAACACAGCTTCAAATACATACACGTACACACATGCCTAAGTGCATTGATCCACAGTTAGGATACTCCTAGTATCCTTTAGTACATTGCTCGATCACTCGTTTTGCTCTTCCCATGATCATGCCTGTGCAGACGTGCCACGCGTAGTCGAGAATAAAAAATTTATCTTTATGTAACAGTTAACTCTATGAACTAAAGTGTAAGATATATTATCCTTGAAGTCCAGAGCTAATAAATGATTATCTTAAGACATAACGGACAAGTGATGTGCAATGTTTCAAAATTCACCTGCGGTAAACTCATCGGTCTTTGAGCGCATACAGCGGGTAGTTTGTCGGCACGACGAGACTGTAGTGTGCGACATGCCAATGAGCGACTTGTTGTTCTCAAGGGTGGATGTGGAGCACAGGAATTTTCCTTCTTTTCAAAGATTTTTGATTCAAATGAGTCGCATACATTTAGCAAATAACTGCCATAATCACTGGTCCCCAGACTACTTTCACCGAAGCTAGCTTTATCAGTCTCGTTGACAGTAGTTGCCTTATGGCTTAGCTTTTCTGCCCTGCGTATATTCCACGGGGAGATTGTAGTCTTCAGAGAATTTTGGAGGTGTTCCTCCGTACACAGATGTTCCTGAACCCCACGTGGTTTAATCATCTGGTCACTTATATAATCAACTTGATTTGAGGGAAGTTGATCAATTGGTTTTTCATGAATCCAGCTCCGACACATCGATGCATCTGATTTCTGGTAATGGTGATAAGCATCTAAATGACCTGCGGGTATCGGAGGTGCCGGATGCGTTGGAGGCGGGTGCCGACTTGCAGTATGCGATGTCCAAATATGTGTACTATCCTTCTTGCGACGTCTGCTGATAGAGGCACTTGAGTATCCCGGATGCAACTGGACCACCTCCGGGCCAATTAATAACTCACCCTGCACTGGGCAAGTGAACTTGGTTGAAGTGGCTAGCGTATCAATATCACACCCCTTGAAAAGTAGTCGATTACGATTTGTGTGGGCACTGTTAGTCTGCTGTGAAATAGGGTTGGAGATTATCCGAATACTACATTCCTGACCCTGTAAGGAAAGCGAAGAAGTAATAACGTGAAAGTATTGGTATTAGAGTATGTTGTGGCTTAGTTCAAAGCAATGACAGTTACAACTTACTTGATAATTTCTCTGGGTCATTGCGCCTGTTGTGTGCCGTCTGCCGTGGTTTCCCAAAGTTTGAGCTCCTTCAGTCTCATGTATGCCACACCCTATTATTGGCCAGATGTTATCGGAAGGGTGAGCCCGATTCAGAGTCTCCGTTTTGAAAGAATCACTGATACAGTGTGTCGACCGTTTCACCTGGCTTGTATACATTTCATCAGGGCTAGCAGCATGGTGATAAGGGGAGTGTAACAGTAGCATGTCTGCTTCACCGACGGACAAGACGGCTGTGGCATTCCCCTGCCTCCCACCAAATTGATGTGGGCGTACAGCAATACAGTGCTCGGTGTGCAAAGCCGCGGAACAGTTCGCCACGGAAGAAGAAAAGATAGGCGAATTATTATTGGAACCGGAGATTGTTCCCGTCGAAGTCATAACAATCTCTTGTTGTCTGTTGACTTTTGCTTCATCTCTGCTAATCCAAATCCAACTAGTGTCCTTGTGAAGCATTGACTGGAAAAGGGACAAAAATTCAAACCTTGTTTCTTATTAGTAAATATCATTTTAAGAACCAAGCTAATTATTGATGAGCTGATTAGATTTCACCTTTTACGTACGCTTGATGTGTGGAAGGCGAAAAGCTATAAAATGAAGGCATAAAATTGTGAGTTTTATAAGCCAAGATGCATGCCAGACGGAATGCTTGCAAACATTTGCTTTAATACTGTGCACAACGACCAACACAACGTAGACATTTAGTACAATTCAGCCAAATAACAGCGTTATATTTACTGTTCACTAGCCGACAGGGAGGAGCGCTACGACTGAAAATGTATACCATATTCAAGTAATGATTTTGCTTTAAGACTAGCACCAACCGGTGGTTTGACTAATGTGTTTGATCTAAACATGTTGCTTTGAGTAGCAAGTAAAAGCTAGGTCGATTACTTTAGCTCAGTGTTAAAATTAACACAAAAGTCGTCATGGGCGGGACTTTTAAATTGACCGTACCGTTGTCACTAAACATCATTTTTACAATATCGCTATGTCTAGCTTGCAACGCTGGCTTTACATTTTTTCGTCTGGAACTTTTAAATTGTTATTCATTTACACGGATCGTTTATTTAAGTGACACTTCTACAAAGTGTTTTATTATTCATTCCGATCACCCATTCCTTCAAATTTATCTTGGATAATGTAAGTTTAGCTCATCCGTACTCGATAATGTAACTTGCTGAAAATGTACCCATCTGGATACATAAAGCTTTATTTGACTTAACCTGCCTTGAATTGAACGACTACGCCGAGCCATCACCAATTAAACCAGTTTATGAGGTCATAAATTGAAAATCGTGGACGTTGCAAAGTTCAGAGGCCATGGGATCAAAAGTTCAAAAGTCAATTCCTACATCTTTGATTTAATTCTCTTCTAATGATATCTCCAATTGAAAAATGTAAACAAGGAATATACCGAGGAGAGCAGAGTTGGCAGTGCAATAAATCAAAACTCTTCACGGGTTTTAGTCCGTTTCAATCAGGATGGCATATTTTTACTTCATCTCAAACTGCGTTCAGAAATGACGGCGTATAGCTGTGCAAACACAGTATGAACCCTTAAGCACAAACAATAAATGAAGTTATCCTCCATCAAAGCAACGGAAATAACGTGTTAAAATTATTTCAGCTTAGTCTATAATAATGCAATGCCCGAATTCCTATTTACAAATAGCAACAACTCTTTGGACTGCCGGCATTGTATATGTGCATATTTGTGTACATTTATGTATATTCTGAACAGGTATATACGAAAAAATAATGCTGGCTAGTATCAAGTTATTTTTCTTATTGTGAATGGGAATTCGAGTTTCAACTTTGTATAAAATAGATTAAAGTATTACTGCATTGAGAAGTCTTATATCTTGTACTTAGTGATTTGGTAGTTTCCTGCAGGGGCGGCAACCGCAGCTTAAACTATGAACTACGTTGTGCTCCGATTCATGTTGAATGGGAAGTTCTAAAAGGGATAAGCGCTGGTGACACGTCTGTCCTTCGGTTGCGTGGCGAACTTAATCATCCGATCGCCAGAGATTTCTCAGTTATGTTGAGGGTGTTCAAATGTGGTGTCCACGGTCTCGATTAACATCAGCAAGGTATGGAAGCCATAAACAAGTTCATTCCGCAAATTTCTCCAGTTTAACTGGTTCAGTTTTAAAGTGGTCAGTGTTTGTCATCGGCCGAAAATTAGTCGTGAGTTTGGAGATGGAGTCTTGCAAGCGGTCACTCAGGAGCGCGAAGCTGGGGTACTAATTCAGACTGGCCTTCATTAATCAAGGCAATCTGAAAAGCTGTCAAATACTGGGAACCAATATGTTAGTATGCTACAGAGGGCATTCGGGCGGATTGATTCGTCTGTTTGACTTTAGATGCGTATAGAATACGTGTGCCCTCATGTGCAATACGTCATGCAGGCGATGCAGGCTGGCACACGAAAGATATCGGAGCTGCCGAGATTTCACAGCAAAGAGCCACCAAGCGCGTCAAAGGATTTTTCAACCTTGCATAAAATCTTAAGCTGTGGACCCGGTGATTATATGGCGTCAGTATCCGCAGCTAGATGGTGCCATAATTTTGGCCTAGCAGATTATGATGCATCCAGCCCATTTTCAGTATTCCCGATTTCCACTCAGTCACAACACCAACCCGTGGGTACAATTTCTAGTTGGTCAATCAGTAAACCCAGTTAGAATGTCCCTGAAAGGGTTGCGCTCTTTGTGTACGCCAAACATGGAATGCCCTCGGTAATTGCACTATTGCCTCACCCAGTTTATATATGTGTGGCAAGACCGTTCACTTTCCCCAAAAACATTAATCGCCTGTGCATCAGCATTTTAAGCTGAGTCACAACAACGAACTGAGAGGTCATCGTCTCAAATTGTCAGAACAACACAGTCGGTTGGAGTGTCGAATAAACATATTATCTCGGTGCGCTTATCCCATCATCATCATCATTACATATTAGCTGGAGGTGGAAAACACCTCAGCTATTGTGCCGCAATACTAAAGAGAAGAAAAGGAAAACCAACCGTGGCATGCCCACTGATTCCCCAGTAACGGATGGACATTGTTCGGGATAGCTAACAGCCGGCTACCCTAAAAGAGAGTTATATTATGCCTAACAAGTGAGATCGTGATTGGAGGGGGATGCTAAGCAGGTGGGGGATGGATAAAGGAACTCACAAAACAAACGCCATTGGGGCCGACTCTTAGCCATATCAACAAGTGTGTCCAACCAAACGTGTTCATTATCTTTAGGACCCCAGCCAGGCAGGCGGGATGCACCAACCGACGTAAATTCGAAGTGAGGGTTTTCATTTCTCTCGACCAAGTCATCACTTGGCCCCCCTCCTCCTCTTCCAACCGCACCCCCGGGCGCGAAAACTATGCACGTCGCGGGAGTCGATGTGTTGGTATGCGCAACAAGTGACCCAGTCATCGCAGCTTGGTGCGTGATATAATGGTGCTGAGCGGTTCACTCGCTCTTCCTACACCAAATATGCGATGCCGAACACGCTCATTGCTCACGCGGTGCTCCCACCAGACATGAGCTAAGCTGCGAAGGCAGCGACGATCGAGTGTGACGAGCCTCTTTATGTCTGTCGATCTGATGGGCCAGGTTTCACAGCCATATAGGAGAGTTGAACGGACGGCTGCGTTGTAAACTGTGACCTTCAGGGCGAGAGTGATGTCGCGTCTGGGCCGCAGTTGCGGAGGTTAGCCAAACAACCTCGAGCTATTGCCATACGGTTCGTAACCTCATCCCCAATCCCACGGGTGCTAATATAGCTGCCCAGGTACTTAAATTACTGAACGACTTCCAGCTGTTTGCCACAAAGCATTAGTGCAGGGGTGGGTCCCTGCCAATCTTGGAGAAGTACTTTGCATTTCGATGGAGCAAAGCATAGCCCAACAAGATTGACAGCCAGTGCTAATCGGTCCATTGCTGTTTGGCATGTTTGGGAGCTGTCACAGATTAGGGCAATATCGTCCGCATACTCCAAGTCAAGAAGTCGCTCACCAGGAAGATGCTCCATACCTTCTAGTTCGTGTCCAGCGAACGCTGTTTGCATGACTTCATCAATAGTGAAGTTGAAGAGGAAAGGTGACAGCGGGCATCCTTGTCTCACACCGCTGGATATACTGAATGCTGGCGACAGTTTGCCATAAACCCTAACTCTGCCCGAGCTATGCACATACAGCGCTTTGATAATGTTTACCTATTTATCAGGCACATTATTCCTCAGCAGACAGTCCCAAAGTGCACATCGATCGATTGAATCAAAGACACATGTTATGTCAAGAAACGCGACAACGGTGGGTCGCCAATAAATATGGCGGTGCTCCAACAATTGACGGAAGGTGAAGATGTGGTCGATGCAGCCCCGACCTCGACGAAAACAGGCTTACACTTGACGAATCTGGCTTTCAAGAGTGCCAGTCAGTCTGTGGAGAATGACAGAGGCAAGCAATTTAGAGGCAATTGAAATCAGACTGACCCCTCTATGATTGTCGCATTCCGAAATGGGAGCATTCCTTGAAAATTGGGGCAATGACGGAGTGGCTCCAGTCTGTCGGGACTGTTTCCTGCTCCAAAGTTTTACTAGCAACTCGTGTAAATCATCTATTCGAAAAGTCCACGAATGTAAAATGGATTGGTGGAATTATATCTGACTCTGTGGCCTTA